TATTTCATCTATACATGTATATTATTTATTTTCAACAAAAATATTAATAAAAAATTATAACTGCTAAATATATTTTGATAATATAAATAATTTGATACTCCCACAATAATATTAATTGAAATACGCATAATTTGACAAATACAGGATACCGATAGATAAAATGTACATTATTTAGTATAGATATGCACATTAAAATATTGTGCTGCATAATGCACAATTGTGATAGAAGAAGTGCACATTGTTGCCTATCAGAATGCAAATTGACGTAACAGTGTATTATGTGCAATGACAAGCGTGAAAAAATTAAAATTGCACTGTTACGTTATTGTGCATTTTCACAAGTATTAACCTGTATTTAATTTATCTATATTGTGCATTCTATTGCGCGTATAGAAGTGTGCAAAGTTCGACTAAAAAATAACGATCCAAACCTTCCGAAATAAAATTTTAGGTTTGGTTTTTTGTATGTCGATATAACCGACATTGAATTTTAAAATTTTAGTAATTTTGGTTTGATTTCGACTTTATTTATTAAAATAATTGAAATAACTGAACCAACTGAACTACATAAATAGTATTGTATAATTTTTGTCAGTCAAAAATAACCAAAAAAAACATTTAATAAAAATATTAAAATACTCAATGTATTTATATAATATAAATGTAATATATTTCTTTATTTGGTTAAATCAGTTAACCTACCGAATAAAGTGATTATTTCCATTCGGCTTTAGTTTGTTTTTGGGACAAAAGTTTGGTCAGTTTGTTTATTCCAAAAGTTCGCTGAGTTATTTTGATTTTGATGATTCGATCAATCGATTCGACTGAACTGACCGATAAACATATTGTGAATTCTCTAGTGTGTTCACATTTTGGTATTATATATTTAATTTCTAACGTTCATATACACACACGATATGGTGTACTTTATTTATCATTATTGTGCGTTTAATATGTTTTATAAATTATAGATTTAATTCATGAACTTAATTGTAATATAATTACATTCATAAAGTTGCAGAAAGTCCCTTTGAAATGTCTAATTTTAAAAAACCTCAAAATTTAGAGTCTCGCCGTCTTTGAAGGCCATGAGGTTCTTTAACCTTCCGATGCTCTTCGGAATCTCGTCGTGCTGCCACCTGCTAGATTCGTGCTCGGTGCTTGAGACTCGTATTGTCGATTTTCGACGGGATTCTGTCTTCGAGCTAGTTGTTGGTGGTCGTACCTTGAGTTAGACAGCGGTGGCGGCGGAGATGGCTGGGAGATGGCGGAGGCCGACAATTGGCGAGTCCTGTGGTGAATCTTTGGCGAGTCTGTGGTGGCGGTGGCAGGGTTGTTGGAGGATGGTGGCGGCGGCGGGCTAGTGGCGGTTGTGTCAAAGTGATCGACTAAGCTTGTGGCGGCCATAGG